TGGGGGCCTGCTTTTTTCAGCCAAAACAAATGTTTTTCGATTGTTTTCATGATGTTCTACTCAAGTGAGCTAGGAATGCCTCATTCAAACTCGAATAAAATCATGAAACCTTCTTTCCCTATAGGAGACATTGCCCTGAGCACCTTGAACCCACAACGGCCTTATACCCGAGATCCCACAGCGTGCCTCGTGTACCGCCCCAGGTCCAGGCCAGCGATAACTCGGCGGAAGGTCCGCCGATTCGTGTGAGGCTTCCAGGGTTCCCTCCCAGCTGCGAGCTTGGAGTCATAGGGGGGTTTTAGGGTTTTAAGCTACCTTCGGGAATATAGCGCTGTGGTATCGGAAGGTCATGCTAGATCTTTGACATCAACATCAGGGGTCCAAGGGTTTGGGGTCATAGACCCCTTTAAAGGGGCCTGATTGTACGGATATACTACAGGGTTTGAAAAAGGCATTCGCCACATATGAAGGCTTTCACAAGGGTTGGACTGTTTGCTGGTAAAGGGTCAAGGGATAATGATGGACGCCAGTACAGGTTGTGTGGAGATCTGCAGTGGTTGCATATTGCTGGGATATCGAGATAGTATCAATAAAGCTGTACTGGGAACCATAAGGACCCTGGTATGTATATTTTGATTTTATTCCCTACACCCTAGACCCGCAAACACTAAACCCTTTTTTTTAGCCTTAAAAAAACTAGTCCCCATCTCCTACCATAGGGTAATCTCCAAGAAGCTTTAAGGGCGCTCTACTTGGGATTTCTGCTTCTTGGGATAAGCTAACTTTATGAAGTGCCCAAGGTTTTGGGGTAGAGGTGTATAAGGCCGAGGTTATAAGGATCAGGCTTCAGGATCTCGTGCCTGGATGGCGGGGGTCTCAATGACTTTTGTCAATCTCAAGCAGCCTCGTGCTGTTCAATTCAAGCAGCTGCATGATGCACCTAACTGTGGAGGGGCGTTCCGGCGTTCCGTTTGCCGACAGTCGGCAAGGGGAATTCAGGCTAAGTTGCTAGTGGGGTAGCGCGGTAGCTTCTCTAAATTTGCAGCAGGTTCGTGGCCCGTGGAACAAGTAGATACTGCAGAAAGATGGGACTTTGCAAGCAAAGCGACAGCAAGAAGGTCGGTATCAAAGGGCGTGCACATTGTGCAAAATGCAAGCGAACAGAGATCCCACCACAAGCCCAAGATCTTGAATCCCCCAAGGCCCAAGCCCCGAACGTGGCCTCCAGGAAGGATGTGCAGAAGCGTTCCTATGTCGGGCATGCTTGGCATGGGATCTGAGAGTTTCGGGTTTGGGTTTGGGGTGGCGTAGCGTTTCCAAAGCTGCAGAGCAGTTGGCGTGCAGGGTAAACATAGCAAAGGACGAGTGTAGGCTTCCTTCTACATTGCAGCATTAATGCTGGGCCTTCCTGCTTTTGGACTGGCGCAACTCACTACCTACGCCACCGAGGGCCTTGCATGTGTAGAAGTTCCTCATTTACACAACGTAGGAGAAGGCACGGCTTATACAGACAGATGAGAACCATCTGTGTCATCGCTACATGGCCTAGGTCCATGTAGGGATCCAGTATAATGAGAAGGGGTTTCCCACATACCTACTTTGGGNNAGTATATACTATACGCCTACATGGACCCTGTCACCAAGAAGGCCTACAAGCTCTACCCACCAGGCTGGGTATTGGGTTGCAAGACCTAAGAAAGTAGTCTCCCTGAAGAAGAGGACGTAATAGCTAGACCCCAAGTACTATAAAT